AACTCAGAAAGGTATCTGGCAGGCTATCTTAGAACTGCTGGGAAATTGTTTAGAGCAGCGGTTCTCAAACTTCAGCCTTCATCAGAATCACCTGAAGGGTTTGTTAAATGAGACTGTTGGGCCCTCTTGCCTGAGCTTCTGACTCAGTAGTAGGTTTCAATGGGATCCAAGAGTTCTCATTTGTAGTACGTTTCCAGGTGAAATTTATGCTACTGGTTTGGCAACCACTGGCCTAGATTACAAGTAACATCTAAACTAGGACATGAGGGAGACGTAGGATTTAACCAAATTGTATGTTAATATTGGTGGGAGAAGGGATGGTGAGGAGAGCTGAGGGCAAAGACTCAGATAGATGACCCCTGCATATAGTCCAAGGTCACCTGCATGCTCCTGTAGGAAGGAGAGTGATAAGAAATGAGGCTTTTGAGGCGAGAAGTAACCAATTTTTAGAGGCATTTTATCATACTACATTTGGGTGAAGAGTCATAGATGGATTATAAACAGGGGGACAGCATAGTCAAATGTACAATATAGAAATATCATGTTGCCTCAATGTAGAGTATGGTTTGAAGGTGAGCAAGACCATTAAGGATACTAGTTAAGAAGTTACTATAGGAATAAGTTAGTGACTGGGTGCTGTATAGCAACAGTAAGGATGGAGAAAAATAGATAGATTTGAAAGATATTCAAGAGGGAGAAATTAGATTATTCGTTTGATTGCTGGAATGCAGGTGAGGGAGGAAAATCAAAGTTCATTCCTTAGCTGCTGCTTTGTTCAGTTAAGTGGGGATATTCATTGGGTTAGGAACACATCAGCAAAGAGGGTTGAAAAAGGAAGGAGTAGAGACAGTGGCAATTTTATTTGGGGAACTTGCTGATGTCCAACAGGCCACTGAGTATACAGTGCTTGAACTCAGGAAAGTGACCTGAACTGGAGATACAGATATGAGACTTGCTGGCACGTAGATGATAACTTAAACAGGGGAGCAGATGGAGTTGCTTGAGTGCAATATATAGAGTGAGAAGAATAGTGTGAGAAGATGGCCACATTTAGGAGATCCTTGAGAAACACTGCTATTTTTTCTTTTCTTTTCTTTTCTTTTCTTTTTGAGTCAAAGTTTTACTCTGTCACCCTGGCTAGACTACAGTAGCACACTCACGGCCTCCACAACCTTGACCTGCTGGGCTCAGGCGATCCTTCCTCCTCAGTCTTTCAAGTAGCTGGAACTACAGGCACTTGCCACCATGCCCCACTAACACTCCCATTTAAAGGGCAGACTGAAGAAGAGAAATCTGCAATAAAGACTGAAAAGGAGCTGGCAGAGAAGTGGGAAGAAAGTAGGAAGACAGAAATAGGACGAAAATCAAGAGAATGTGACAATGGAAGTGCTTCAGTCATGCCCAAAACTGAAGAGAGATCAAGTAAAATAAGTGAACAATATCAGTTAGATATTGGAAGAAGGTCATTGATAATAGAAGTGCAAGTCCTTACCATGGAGTTGTATAAGGTTGAACAAGAAAGATGTAGAAACTGAGAAAGTAGTGGCAAATAGATAAGATGACATACAACCTCTGGTTGCCCCCCCTTTTTTATCATTTCATCTGAATTTCATGAATTTATTTACTATTAATAACAAAAGTGGAATGTATACTTTATGCCTTTTCATACAAAGTTTTGGAAATTTCTTGCAACCTTCTGTTGCTGCTTTCCTTCAGAAATAGTGAAACTTTCTGAACTCTGAACCTCCTAAAGGTTCGTCTATGAATAATAATGGCAAAGTCATCTATATAGAAAGTCTAATGATTGTATTATTTTTACAGTTACATTTCATACAAATACATGTCTATGTATTCTTTTTTAGAACTTGGTTTCTAGGAATGAATTCATATAAGCTACAAGAGCACAAGGTTCATTTTTTTAAAATAGCAGAATTTTCTTATTGTAAGGCAATTCTAGAAAAATGCATCTTACTCTATTTTACAAAAACCAATATTATAAAATGCTTATCTTGAAGTGTTATTATGTTTCCTATTATTTGAAAGCCAGTAGACTCAGTAATGGGAGATTTGTAAGAGCTTTGCTTTGGTTTTTCTCTCTGGAAATGAGATTATGGGATTCTTGAAAATCTTGAATTCTCAGGTCATACAATAAATACCCAAAGGGTCATCTGGGAAGTATGAATGTTTCTGATAATTTAGAAGTGAGATTTCTTGATTAAAAGATTACCAAACTGGAATCATATAGATTTCCTCTGCAAAAAGATAAAACATACCTAATTAAGACATATTTTGGAGGAGGTAGTTATTTAACAAATTCACTATTAACTGTCTTTGAGATTAAGATTTTTTTTTTTTTTGAGGTTTAGATTTTCATTGAGGATTGTAAAAATTCTCAAGTATCAGAAAATAAATGATTTTCTACTCATGTTTTCCATGGAAAGAAAATATAACTTTTTTTCTCTGAAGTACTGTTTCTCAACCTAATGAAAACTCCTTGCATTAACTTCAAAACTCTCTAGGAGTTACTGGGTATAGAGGATCAAACTCTTATTAACTTATATGAATTCATTCTCAGAAACCAAATTTCCCTCCTGCCAAACTGTTATACCCACTGCCCCCAAAGACAACTTATAGTTCACTCCTTTGTACTGCTATGCAATTTTCTTCCGTTAGAATATATCCTTATATTTTTATCAGTTTTTGTTATTTCTACCTATTGATATCCATCAACACTCAAATCAAATACCACCTATTAAGTTAGTAGACTCACTAGCTACATACAATAAATACTATACATAATGTATTTCATATGGTAGCTGCTTGCAAGCTTATTTCCAGTTAGATTATAAGCTTATAGAAGAATCATATCTTATCCCCCCATGCTGCCTAGCATAATGCCTAGTATATGGTTGTCACTATATAAATGCTTGTTAAAATTATATATTTCAAATATAAAAATTAAGAATAAAGAAATTAAGAAAATTTGGAACAGTTTTCTCTTTTTTCTGCTTTAGCTAAGGTATAGATTAGGGAAATGAGTTCTCTGTGGAAAGCCTCATTATTCAAATTTTATTAATTCACCCATATACAACCAGAAACCATTATTTAAGTATTGTGATTGCAAGTTTCTTACAGAAAGCAAGATTGAAACTGGAAAAAATATTAATTTTGCAGAAAATTTCTCTTACTCCTTAGGTAGAATTTTTGAACCTTTTGATCTGATGATTACAATGTAAGCTTTCATATCTAACAATATAATTGGTCAAATTGTTGATCAAGTTTTTTAAAGTAGAAAGGCATTTAAAAAGTATATAGATACTGTAATTTAAAACACATATTCACCAGTCTTTCTGAAATAATATTTTGGCTATGTGTCTGATATTTAGAGTTCATTGTTTTCTTTCTAGAAAATCACCAAAAAGTCTTTTTAAAATTTTAATGCTTTGTTTTGGAGATTAAAATAGATGTTATAAAAATAACTCTTTGTTTCACAACCATGTATACTTATTTTATTTAATATTTAATTTAATTATATAAAATGATAGCAATGAGCTTACTATGGGAAAAAATACACCTAATTCATAGCAAGTAGCAATTGAACTGGTTGGAGCAGAAATGTTTGAGGCACAGTAAAGAGCGGTAGCAGGTTGCCTGCCAGTGTTAGAGTTGAAGGGGGAAGGTAAATAAGAATCTACTGCAAAATAACTTTCTTTACTTGATGTGTTATGCTAATTCAAGGAGAACTGCCAAAGATCTATACATAAAGGAATATATAGTGTAATACATCTGGGCTATTTCATGCATATTAGCTTCATTTTTGGATTTATAGTGATTTTTATTAAAAATTTATATTGCTTAAAATTATTGAAAGAATGGAGAAGGAAATAGAAAGTTGGGAAAATGCATTTACTTTGGCCTTGTGGAAATTGATTATGGATACTCTCATAGTACCATAAACAACTCAGTGGTTTATGTCAAGTCATAATTTTGTGACATAAAATTTCAAAATGGGAGTAGGGTGTTAAAATCAGTGAGAATATTCTAGAGATAAAATTGAAGAATGGGTGAATGGAAAATCCCTGTAGTAAGGTAGGAATTTGTTTCCACACAATATTTAAAGATGGGATAGTTCATAGATATTATCCAATTCAGTAGTTCTCAACTCTGGCTATTCATCTGGGATATATATATATATATGGAAAAACTCTGTTTTTTTATTATATTTTTATAGAATATCCCTATTGTCTTTCATAATGCAATGACCTTATTTAGTTAACCCAATGTTTAAATATTCCTCTTGTTGTTTTATTATTTCGTTATTAGTTTTGGTAATGTGACAAAATGACTATGAAGGGAGATAATATGAAATGGTTTCCAGGAAATATCTTTAATAACATTCTAATGTAAAAGCAAATAACTAGTTCAAGGAAGTTTTTGCCTTCATGTGATATTGTAAAGTCCAGCTACTTACTTTCAAGACTAGTTTTTGATCCCCCAGAAACTTTGAACAATGTTTGCTTATGGATCATTCTAAAGTACTAAGAATCTTACTTTACTTTTTAAGACATGATCAGAAGAATTTTATTATATATGAATTTATTGACTTAATGGTCTCTAATGCAGGACATTTGTTTGTTATTAGGAGATAAGCCAAAGTGAAATTAAATAAAATTATGAGCAATACTGTTTCTCTTTTTTCTCATGTTAAAACTCTGCATAAGCTGGCCATGGTGGCACTCCTCCTGTAGTCCCAGCTGCTAGGGAGGCTGAGGTGGGAAGGATCACTTGAGCCCAGGAGTTCAAGGATGCAGGACACTATGATTATGCCTGTGAATAGCCATTGCACTCCAGCCTGGACAAAACAAAATAAAACAAAACAAAAATTTCTACATAAGTGGATATTGGTGGGTTTAAATTTTACCTAGAAAGATAAATTATTTTAGAATTTTATTTTCTAAGTATGAGGTTTGTCCTCACAATTTGAACTTTTCCTTTTCCAGGGTTTTGAAGGTGTTTCTTTCACGAACAGCCCAACGAATTCCATATATGACTGGTGGACGGGTCATGAGGATGCTGGCAGTTATACTCTTGGTAGTGTTTTGGTTTCTCATTGGCTGGACTTCATCTGTGTGCCAGAATTTGGAGAGGCAGATTTCACTTATTGGCCAGGGGCAAACATCCGATCACCTCATCTTCAATATGTGCCTCATTGACCGCTGGGATTACATGACAGCAGTTGGTATGTGGTCACTTGTTTTGTGTGATTGTTTTATAATTTCTTCAATAGTATCAAAATTGACTTCTTTAGAAGCCTTGCCAGCCTCTTTCATAGAACCTATAGAAATCTTACCTAATATGGTTTTGGTAAAATAACATGAAAATGGCAGTCATGTAATGTGAAATAAAAACTTTTTCTGGAAGTTTCCATTATTTTTCAAAGGTATGTAGCTTTGTTGAGAAAATGTAATCAAATAAGCCAGAAAGGAGAAATACAGTGAATAAAGTCCATTTCTATATTCAAAGAGACTTTATGCTTTCCATCTTATCAGCTTGTCCCCATTTGATTAATGGTAGCTATTCTTGACTTATGTCTTGAATTGGGAAGAAAAGGAAGTATGGTAGTATTTTTATATGGCTTTGGCCCTGTGATATATCAGACTTTGTATGTAGGGCATTCTTTATAAAAAGATTGTCTCTGCAAAATTTCTAATTAATCTATCTTTTCTATGCTTTCCTCTAAAGATAATTTATCAGTAATTCTCTGGAGGTCTAGTATTACACAAAGACTAAGCCATGCTACTTGAAGGTGAGAGTGCCAAATCCTAACCACTAGATCACCAAAGAGCAGCTTGAAGGATTATGTGGCCGAGAAACTGGAGAACTTAGAAGTACTGAATTATGACTTGGTTCTAAAACACAAATTATGTTTTTTTGGCAACCCAGTGTTTTGAAAAAAGGAGAAGGAAAATCCATAGGATGTTTTCTGTTGTTAATACTAGCCTATTTTAAGCTAAATCTCTAAAGATACCCCCCCAAAATGAAAAAATAACCTTTTTATTTTGTTATTTTTCTCCTTAATAAGCTGCAGGACAAATCTTAATTTTATTTGACCTATGTAAAAAATAAAAGCATGAGTTTAATTCCCATTTGTTGTACCCTTTATATTTGTCAATTGTTGGTTGACTGCTTACATCTAGTCTTTTGCAGGAAGCTAATAAAATATTTATTTCATTGAAAGTTCAAATGAAGGAATACTTTTCTGATAAATATATTTTAAGAATCTTATAGGCCTGATATTTATAATAATGAAGCAATATAAGTATATAAAGGGAATGATTATAATATATAAAGTTAACTACTATGTTTTGAGCAATATAACTCAGAAGATAAAGCATAGAAATAAGATAGGAAGCAAGTCTGGATATTAAAATTAAATAAATAGTATAACTAGTAAATTTCTACTCAATAAACCTCTAACATTATTTTATGGTTTCATTGCAAGTTAGCCAAATAGGAAAAATCATTTCTTTGTATTACTATGAAGAAAAGGCCACTAGATTTTTTTTCCCTGTTTAACAAAAATATTCTCAAAATACATCAAGATATAAACAAGCAGATAACTTGGCCTATTAACCTGGAGTTTTTGTGCACATTAAGATTTGAGACCTTTATGACATTTGTTTTGCACTCTGAAGAGGGTCACATTTATGATTTCTACATAGAAATATATAGGAATATATAATAGTAATTGTTAGTAACCTGCAATTCATTTTATATAAACTTTATAGACAAATAAGTATTATATGCAGTCACAATCCACTGAGTATTTATAATTTCTCTCGTACTATGTTGAACACTTTGTGGGAGACGTAAGATGTATAAAGGCCTAATTTCTCTCATCAAGTAGCTTCCTATTGGTTTATGTAGATAAATGAGAACTGTTAAAAATTGTTAAAAAGCAAAATTAGGTGGTATAGACTCTTGGTTCAGTAAAGAGAGACAACAGTTTGGACCAGAACCCACGTGTTTTTATAAAGGAGAGGTTCTTTGGCCATGGGTAATATTTAGATTATTGTAAAGAGTATGTGTAAAGAGCATTCATGTGACAATAATGATGGATAGAGGGGGTAGGAATTGTATGAAACATGAAGGAAATGCCTAACTAGAAAAGAAGATTATGTTAGGATACATTGTGAGTAATGCTGGATGGCTAAGTTTACTGTGAGTTTATTATATTCATTATAAATCATATTGGATGGTTAAGTTTAATGAAAACATCTTAGAGGAATTTTGAGAGCCAGGAAAGTGATGTGACAAATCAGTAAATTCAATCTAGATGGCTTTCATTAAGTATTTTTTTAAAGTGAGATGTACCAAATTCAGATATTTGAGAGTTAGAATCATCAGTAGGGAAAAAGAATGGTTCTCAAAGTGTTGCAACAGAACTGGCAACAGCAGCATCACCTGGAAACTTGCTAGAAATGCAAATTATTGAGATAATAATAATTCTCTCCACCTGGGATAGTGGGGTCCAGCAGTTTATGTTGAATAAGTATTGTAGGTGACTCTGTTGGAACTACTAACTCAGTGGAAGGAATCAGATGAACTTACTGGAACATAATGACAACCAATCTCAACTGTGCTCTAGCCTTTCCATAATACTACTGTTTCCCTAATTAACCACTAGAACATTCTTCACAGTGATTATTTCAAGTCTTGTATTCACTCTTCATACCTGCAAGCTATCCATGTTTCTTTTTTCTCTTAGTAGATGTCTTCTACTTGAAAAAAGTAAATAGGTATCATCAAATAGAAATGTCATCAAATTAATTCCTACATGTTTTATAAATCTTTCTATATTCACACCCATTCTTGTCTTTTCTTCCTCATATTATCTAAGTTAAACCCCAACTTGAGCCACACTCATCTAACATTTTGACCACCTCAGCTCAAGTGACCTCTCTCATATGAACTCTCCCATATGTACTTTCTGTCATCTCAAACTCCCCTACCTCCAAAATCACTCATAAAAGAATTCCATTCTAACCACAACTTTCCTCATGGTAGACTATTTTTATTGTACTTAACTGCAACTAAATTCTGGTTCTCTTCCAGAGAGAAAGCTTACCAGGCAGAAAATTTTTCCATTTGCAAGGAGGAAACTATGAAAAAAATGAGCATTAAAAAAATATGTAAATTCCAGATAATACCAGGAAAGGGACAGTGAGGGCAAGGAGGACCCTGAGACAGTGAGATAGTGCAAGAGAGAATGAAGATTCCTACCTGTGAGAAACGAACTCACCTGTCCAAAATCAAAGGGTGAACACAGAGTCATGGAGTGCAGCAGAAGCAAGACTTTAATGACAGCCTTGCAAGATTGGGTGTCTGGTGGGCAGGCACCCCCAGAGCAGTTACAGCAAGCAATTTATTCCTAGTGCACAGGTCCCTCTCCCGGTTTCTCCTTTGCCAAGAACTGTGAGTTACAAGCTCTCCTGTCCATCACCTAAGGGGTTTTGCCCCAAATAAGGTTAAAATAAATACCTGTTGCTGTTTGATTGGAGGGCACCAGTTTCCTTATTTCTAAATTTCATTTTGCCTAAGACGATGTGACTATTATCATGCCTCCCTTTTTTTTTTTTTGAGTTGGAGTCTCACTCTGTCGCCCAGACTGGAGTGCAGTGGCCGCTCCCGGCCACCGCAGCCTCGACCTGCTGGACTCCAGTGATCCTTCCGACTCAGCCTTCCAAGTAGCTGGAATTACAGGCATGCGTTACCATGCCCGGCTGATTTTTTTGATTTATTGTAGAGATGAGGTCTCGCTGCTATGCCTCCCTTTTTAACGGACTTTTGGTCACGTCTGCTTCCTAATACATGTCTTGGTCGTGTTAGTAGACTTCTTTCCATTTTATGAATATAAATAATCCATTATCTCTCACACTAATTTGGAAGGACTGTAGAGAATGTAGTTCCTTGGGCAATTGCCGGGTCCCAGTTAAGGCAAGGAGGTAGAGAGAAGCTAAGAGAAGAGACTGATTGTGGTGGCAGGATCTAAGTCCTTGCTTTAGGAATGAGAGAAAAGTAGCAAAACTTAAGAGGTAGGAATGACACTAATATCCCCACAGGGGTTAGATGATAACATTAGGGTCTCAGAAAATCAAAAGACGAATGATAAGAGTGCAGGGGTCAAGAGATAAAAGGAAGTTAAATTTGGGGTGATGTTTTGTTATTTCTTGATCATTGTTTTTGTCCTGTAAACTACTAGAACACATTAGTTCCCATAACATGCTTGTCCTGCAGCGACGCAGTTCTCTATGAAAAAAGTCAGGATGAGTGACTTAAAACAGGAACAAATATTTGGAACAAGAACTGCCATGAAAAATCTGATACATGTAGTTGCTGTAATTTTTTTTCATACTATTCTATAACAATTTTCATTTATTTCTCTTCCTGTATGTAGCATTGAGATATTCTGTATTTAACCTCTCTTAATGTAATGTTTTCTAATGTGTGGCATATGCCTCTTTTCAGTTCTCTTTCTGTAGTTTTATAAGTTACATGTTTACCATTTGGCTGTTAATCAAGAATAAATCCATATATCTTCAGTCAACTAGAAAATCTGTACTGAAGGGTAAATTATTCTCTGGTTTTTTGTTTGTTTGTTTGTTTGTTTGTTTGTTTTTTGAGTTGGAGTCTTACTCTGTTGCCCGGACTGGAGTGCAGTGGCCGCTCTCGGCCACCGCAGCCTCGACCTGCTGGGCTCCGGCGATCCTTCCGCCTCAGCCTTCCAAGTAGCCGGAACTACAGGCATGCGCTACCACGCCCGGCTGATTTTTTTATTTATTGTAGAGATGAGGTCTCGCTGCCCAGGCGGGTCTCGAACCCGTGGGCTCAGGCAATCCATTCACCTCAGCCTCCCAAAAGCGCGGGATTACAGGCTGAGCCACCGAGCCTGCTATTCTCTGGTTCTTAAACAGAACTGTTTCCTTGTAGGTGGGGCTGTGGAGAGGCAGGAGACAGGTTTAATAAGCTTGAGGTGGTGGGATATCATTGTCAAGAAGTTGTATATACTTACATTAGTGAAAGGAATTAGTTTAGAAAAAAGAAAAGAAGGGATGACTAATATATTGGTATAGTTGCATTTTGAATCAGCTTTACCTATCAAAAAATCTACTTTTAAAAATAAATATGAAATTAAAAAAATGTGAAAGAGTGAAATGCTAGTTTTTTCCACTAACATAG